ATTTAAATATTAAGCCCGGATCTTCTTGTTAAAGAGCTTGTACCTATTCAAATTAAACAGTTAGAAATAAAAGCTTACTTAGATCTAACGTAATAAAATAGTTTTAGACGAAAACATTTCTGGTTACCTTCACTCTACAGTAGGGTACGAGATGGGCCGGGCCAAACCCGGAAATTTGTGGGCCGGGCCGGGCTTGGGCCTAAATCGGGCTCAAATTTTTAAGCCTATAATTTTGTGGGCCGGGTCTGAATTAGGCCCACTAAGTACTGGGCCGGGTTTGGGCTTTTATATACAACCCGGTTGGGCCCAATGGGCCTAGTAATATTTAGTAAACTTTTAATGAATACGTATTAACATGTGAATTGAGCACTAGCATTTTTTTGGTACATACGTATGTATTACGGTAGTGTTACAGTAAATTTTTTTTAGACAAATTTATTGATACGTATAAAAACATATGATAAAGGAAGTTAATACAATACATATTTTCAAGTCTTCGCAGTGCACTGTTAAAAAAGCCAAGTTAGTAAGTTTGGTATGCGCAAATAAAACAAAGCATACTATATATACGTACATACATACGTTCTTTTTTAGAAGACTTTCTATATTTTAAAAATATAAGTCAAGAATTAAGATTTAATAATGGGTGATTATCGATCGAACCTTAATCCAGAAACTATTGAGACGGTCCAAATTGGTTGAAATATGCAGAAGAACGAGGCCGAACATACTAGAGTAGTATAGATTTAAAACTGGTGGTTAATTTTGTTTGATTTTAAGGTAGTTAAACTAATCTTTGCTTCAAACTTTTCAAATATTTGTACTTATATAGATTTCGGGACATTGGTGAATTATATTTCTTTATATAGACAACTATTTTACTATTTACTCAAAAATCTGTAATCGAATTAAAATTAATAGTATTCGGGTTACAATGGATGAACTTGCGGCACTTAATATTATCAAAATGTAGCGATACTTGGTCATGATGGCAGAGCGTTTCGAGTTGGCCATTGCTATTATTATAGAATCAGTGTTAACAAAGATGATTATGGTAGTCTTGGAATAATGTATTTGGTTAAATTGGATGGAAAAGCATTTGGACGAACTCTTTTTTTTTTTTTATATGATTTTATTGATTTTTAGAATTCTATAAATTTATATATATATTTTTTTTGAAGCCTTAAAGACTAAATTTACCAATATATAAGCTTTTAGATTTTTGCATATTAAATGTTTAGAAATTTTTTTAGTTTTTAAAATTGATATTATTCAGATTATAATTGCACGATAACATCGATATTGAATCATGCGATGATATTAATCATCGCATAACCAATATCTTATAAACCTGAAGCAAGGTTTATATACGCTAATAAAGTTTGATAAATTACAGACTGGGCCGGGCCCAATTTATGATAAACCCGGACCAGGCCCGCTATTCTGGGCTTTTTTTTTTTCCGGGCCGGGCTCGGGCTCAAAAATATTTTCTGGGTTTGGGTTTTTTTTAGACAAGCCCGGCCCATTTCGTACCCTACTCTACAGTATAGTTTGATATGGTCCAATAAGCGGTAGGCATATTTTGCCTTCTAAGTAAAGTTCGCGGGGATACTGATTATTACTGATTATTTTTGCATAGTGAATATAAACGTTCTATCGAAGCGAAAAATGGATTTTTTATTAGTGAAACGTTGTGTTCCCAAAAAGTACTTTAAAGTGTATAAATAAGTTACCCGGGCAATTGATTTACATCAGCCAATCAGACAAATGTCCTCCTATGAGTCCGCACGCGTGTTCAAATTTGTAATTTAGCACAACAAAAAATAAAAAATATAAAAATATGCGTTTGTGGTATATGATAATCATCATGTGCCCTTATAAACCTGGTAATTATGTCTTTCGCTAACAAGCAAGAAGAAGCCACCGCATCACTATCACGACAATCTCGGGCGCGTAAAAATAAAAAGCAGAAGCGGGATTACGAGGATGCATCTAATGTAGATTTTAATTCGCTGAAGGTATAATTATTTCTTATTCTGAGTTGGATATAGCATAGTGCTTTGTTGTTTTATGTGTTGATAAGGGAATTGCCTGGACGAGTTCGTTACTTGTCATGAGTTTCTTCAGCAAGGCAATTAGTCTGTTCCATAAAAAAATGCAACATGCTGAGATTATTTTATGTTGATAAGGGAATTGCCTGGATGAGTTCGCTTAAGGGTAGTTAGTCTGTTCTACAAAAAAAAAATTTGTATTGATAAGGGAATTACCCGAATTACTTGTCATGAGTTGCAATTAGTCTGTTCCATAATATAATGCAACATATGCTATGAGATTAAGGTCTGCTGATTCTAGAAGAGGAATCGCTATAAACCTTAAAAATCCTACTAATATATTTTATTTGTATAATACTACAGAAACCTGCAGAAATGTTTGATAATGAAAACAAGGAGAATCAGGCATTTATTTCTTGAAGTTTTAATTTATCTTCGCATAAGTTTATATTTAATAATGCATGTTTAATTTTTATAATGTATATAATTTTATGCCTTTTTTTTTTAGGAAGAAGAGATCTTTTCTCGAAGAAGGGGGCTTCGAAAAAGAAGCAAAATAAATTACTCCGAATCGGATGTGGAGGAATCAGATTATGAAGAAAAATCGAAACCTTCTGGTTGTAGTGAATATGGATCACGTGGCTTAATTATATAAGCTGAACCATGGACACGACCACAAACAATTGCTAATTATTAAGTATGATGTTTCTTAGGCAAATTCGAAGAATGTTATTTCAAGTAAAATTTCAACTAAAGATTGCGATTTATATGTGGGTGGTGTAAATATACGCACATTAATTAAAACCTGGCGTCAATCAACCGAATATGTCACTGAAATCAGCAAACTAGAGTATGTTTTATAATTCTGTCTTGGGAACTCTATAAACCATTATAACATTTGTGCATTTCCTTTAGTCTGCTATATTATAACATCATAGATACATCAGCAACGAAGGCTCGAATCATTTTTAAAGATAACTGGAGTGCAATGATAAATATTATTGAAAATAATATCAATTCGGAAGAAACACTAAATGAAGAGCCAGGAAATGTGAATAAACATATCAAAGAATTTATGAGTAATATAGTAAGTGGTTCGGTTACAGGAGATTGTGCGTGATATATTATTTTAACTTGTATTATTCAAAAAAAAAAGACTACCTGGGCGCAATTGGAAAATGTTCTAAAAAACGAAAAGGTTAAACTACAGGAGCATCGTACTGAAAAATATAAGAAGCAAGCTTTAAAGCTTGCAAAGATATTGTAAGTATATTCTGGTTAAAGCTTTTTCCTTGTATTTAATATAATCGATCTTGCTAACGTGTGAACCTTTGAAATTATTATAGCAAATATCAATTTGAGGATGGTCGGAACAATTTTACAGAGGAACAGACAGAATATTATTTTATTATAAATTTCGTTTCTCAAACTTTCAAATTGCTCTTTAAGAATAATAAGTCTTTAAAATTGGATTGGTAAATATTTATTTCTTCTTGTTTAGTTGTTTATGTTCGGGCTCATATAGTTTATTTCTGTATTTCTTTAATAGGGGGGAAAAGACACTAAAAGCATCCGCAATTTTAAAGAACGAATCACTTCAAGACGACTATAGACGTAGTAATGGTAACAAGATAGACCTTGTTATGAGCATTGTCGACATTAAACTAGAATGTATGATCATGGAGGTATCGGGTTCTCCGAACGAGCAAGATCATACACATTATGTGGGTGATCAGAACAAAATTGCCAAAATGCTAAAAATAATTATAAATTATACCATCGCCAAGTATCCTGGCAATTTCGAAGTATTAAGAAAAATAAAATTTTATGGCATTCAAATCTATAGTAAGTTGTACCGTCTTATTATTACTTTAGTATTATTCTGATGATCAATCTAAAATTATAGATCACAAATTTTACGTTTATTCAATGTATATGCCATTTTCGGCAATATATTATTTCAAACTTGAACACAAATTTGAATGTCCAATAACAATGAGAACACTTTTTAGAGAATTGCCGATATTTGGGCAAAATTTATGGAAAATAAAGGTAAATTTGACTTTTGTATCGATGCAAGTTTGCGAATTTGATCTAAAGTTTTTCTTTAAATCCAATTAGGACCTAGTTCAATCAAGTGTATCGAAAATTATGAAATATATTGATGGTGAAAAGGGTGAAGGGAGTGACAGAGAAGCTTCAGTTGATCTGGTCAATTAATTAGGAAGTTAGTTGTTATGAGTTTAAATTCAAGTGTACCTTTTTTTCTAATAGCTTTTTAGTTCATTAGCAAAAAACATTTAGCCTAATTTCGCCTGCTTTAATAAACCATAAAGATTAAATAACTACTGCTTAAAACTCAATATTAGTATATTATTAGCGTTAGGTCATCAAGATTCGTTGTATACGTAATTTACTAAATATCTGTATATAATACTTTTATATACTGTATATACCTATAAAATATTCGTTAGTTTGGGCATGTGATTTATTAACTTTGTATATACTAAAGTTGGTTGTTGGATTATCCTAAAATAAAAAGATTTGGTTTTGGATCCTAAATTGTCACAAATTATTCTAAATAGTCCTATATTTCTGTATTTTTACTAATGTGAAGTACTAACGATTGACGTAAATACACAACGTAGTTTATTATATTTAACTATATAGTTAGTATTTTTTTTTCAGTACCCACGAGTATAAACTGAAAATTGAATTGTACGTACTGTACAACCAACTGGTTATGTAGTAGATTAATTATGATAATAAATTAATTACAACACAGCATTGCCGTAGCGTATATGAATAAAGTCAAATCGCAAATTTCTTAATATTTGTATGATCACTGCAGCAATAGTATAACTTACACTTTAGAATAGCTATCCTCAAGCAGAACGTAGCATAGTAAGAACCAATTACACAAAATAAAAAATTAGTAATCGTAATATGGGTATCAATTTGTCACCACTACCATTACATTCAGGATCAACTTGAATTAATTTTAAATCCACTATCGCTATGGATAGGCAAAGTAACTAGCTCTTAGGATCCGGCGTTGCCTAGGTTCGAGTTCCTAATTTTCTTTTTTGTCGACCCACCTAGTATCGCCACCAAAATCATGTACGTACGTAATCGGGTTTTAAATTTATTTTCCGGCATTAAATTTAATAATTTATGACATTTGATTAACGTTAATAATAATAATAATAATATATATACGTAATAATAAGAATAACTATTTATGTTGAAAAATTTTTTTTTTTGAATATCGTAAAATGGAAAATTCAAACCTTTGTACATTTTTTCGAACTATAAAACCCATTTTTTGCATTCAAAGTAATCAAAAAAACATGTTTTGAGTAAGCCGAAAAAGAAAACGTGAAGATCAAATTTTAGTGATATTTGCAAGCAAAAAGAAAATGCTGTAAAATCCGAAGAGATTAAACATATAGTTTATAGTTTATAAAAAGCTTATGGATTTTGAAGAAGAAAGCAATATGCATATGATTCTTGAGATAGCTGTGGATATAATTAATGAATTAGAAGTAAATGATACCGAAGAAGTTTTTGCAAGTTCATTAACACCAGGGCTTAAACGACTATATTAATTTGCCGGCCATTCAAAAGTGGCATTCTTGATCTATGATATATTAGAAATTAATTGGCTAAAATAGTAGACAATAAAGATGCGCAATATATTACATGCATAATAAAAAAATCGTAACATATGTCATGTGAATTAATCATATATCGATAATTTTGATAGCGATAGATTAAAGCGTTATCGTTATTATTATTTTTTATCGTTACGTATTTATGATATAAATTCAAATATCAATTCATTGAATCTGATATTTTTTTTTAACAAGATACAATTTT